CCGCAGGGGCTCCGTGGCCGTGTCCGGGGACGGGAGCCGGCGCGGGTCCCCGGCCTCCATCCTGGACTCGGCGGAGATCCTGCCCGGTCGGGGCCGGAGGGACTCGTCCCTGCCGCGACGAACCTCGGCCGTCTTCGACACGGATCAGGTCCGTTTCCAACATGTAATCTTTCTCAATAAAAACACATTTAATTAAATTAAATCATTAATTTATCGACATTAAATTAATTAAATTTGATCGAGTCTAAAAATTTCCCCCCCCAGGTCCGAAAAGGCCTCGTCAACGGCGACCTAAAATCCGGCGCCGCCACCCTGGACGTGACCGGCCGCCACTCGGCCCACGAGCGCCGCCCCTCCGCGCCCGAGGCCCTCCGCCGCCGGGGCAGCGGGGTCGACCTCATCCCCCGCCCCGCCTCCGAGGAGCGCAAGGCCTCGCTCGACAGTCGGACGAGGGAGTTGCAGCAGGCGGCGCTGCTCGTGCCGGAGCCAGAGACTTTTTTTCAGAGTCCTGCCCTTCCCATCACGGAAGTACGTCCAATATATATATATATATATTATATATTTTTATAGTACTTATTTATAAATGATATTTATGATTTGTTTTAAATAATTTTCTCGGGAACTCGTTAATCAAGGCGTTCCCATCGAAGACCCGAACCGGGAATCCAAAGCGAGGGAATCCCGACAGGAAATCCCAAGCAGGGAATCCCGACAGGAAATCCAAAGCGAGGGAATCCGACGACTGTAATTGAGGAACGGAAGCGACAGGCGAGGATTCGCCTCTCCCTAAGCCGGGATCCGTTTTCCGCTTCCAATCGGCCGCTTAAGCCCGGCCAGCAGGCTGGCTCTGTGTTGCCGTGTCGTTGCCGCGTCGTCGACCTGGTCGACTGGGTCGCGGTTACGAGGGACTTTTTTTGGGGGCAGAAAAAAATTTTATAAAAAATTATATATTCTGGCTGACGGGGGCTAGAAACTTCACTAATAAGTCTCGTTTCCGTCCAACTTTCACGCGAACTGAAAATAGCCCCACTAAGCTGGAAATAGCTTCACTAAGCTGGAAATAGCCACCCGTAGCAGTGAATAGCCATAAAGAATATTTGGTTCATAACCACGAGATAAAAACTCAGTCGACATTTTTCGTCGGCCCATAGGCGACCCATAGGCGGCCCAAGAGAACCTTCTCGGCCCCCATGCGGACCGAGAAATTTGGCAAATTTCTTCCTCTCTCGACACAGAATCGCAGAATTGCGGAGATCACTCCACCTCGCTTCTCGAAAATGTCAATTTCATTCCGGATTTTCTTTCCGGAATTTCTCCTTCTCCTGGGGAGTTTTCGGAGGAAAGAGACCGACCGAACGAAAGACATCGACTTGTAGATGACACAAAGCGCCATTTTTCTTGCTTTCAGTGCGCCATTTCGCCATTAAAAAAAAGAAAATCGGATGCCGTTGACTTGAGCTTAGCGCGATGGCTCCGGCTCCGTCCCCCAGTGTTGCCGGATGTCGTGCCCCAGTTCTGCCATATTCATCACATCTTCGCCCTCCGTATCGACGTCTGGATCTAAATTTTTTAATGCATGAGACGATTTCGCGTCGACTTCATCAGACGAGCCGAGATCGAAATTGTGGCCAACATCGGCCGATCGATCTTAATGCGGAGACATCGGGCATCCCCGAATTAAGCAAGATGGCGCCCACCCTGCATTCCGTGCTTCCCAGGGGCCTTCCCCCCTCGGAACCCTAACGTTCGAAAACGCATCGAAATGGTTCTCGAAGCTCCGGGGATTATGGCAATTCTACGCCTGACAGTCCTTCAGTTCGAAATTGAAAGCCTTCGAAAAAATTTTTTTTTTTCGTTTCACTAAATTCCGATGATTTTTAAAATTTAAATTAAATTTCCCTCTTCTCTTCAGTGCCTCTGCACGAGGAACCCGGCTCGCAGCTGATTCGGGGCGGGTTCGCGCGAGAAATGCCTCGACTTTCCCTCGCATTATCCATATCCTTATCCTTATCATCCGGTTGCAACGAGAGTTTGCATCCGGTGAGGAAGGCAATAAGGATCTCGATCGCAGCTGCAATGTTGATATTGCGCTTCTTCCTCCGACTTCCCTCTTAATGAGCTCGTATTCCAGGAATACGGAAGATGAGCCAATTTTGGTGAAATTGGCTCGCGTTGCCTTTTACTCCTGGCATATAATAACCTCCTGAGTTTATTGCGCTCGTTCGGCAACAAATCAAATCTGCCAATGCCTACGGCTCCTCGCGGCCCCTCACGGCCCCTCGCGACCCCTCACGGCCCCTCGCGGCCCCTCACGGCCCCTCGCGGCTCCCTCGCGGCCCCTCACGGCCCCTCGCGGCTCCCTCGCGGAAATTTCCGCGCGCTTGGCTCAGGGTTAAGCGGAACGAGGCCATGAACTTTCTTGATTGCCCTGTTCGCTCCACATTGCCCTGTTCCTGGAAATGGCTCGTGATGCAGGACCCAAAACGAATTCTCCCGCGATTTTTTTAGCGCTCGCCGCCCTTGCCAATCCGCAATCTCCCGAAATTTCTCCTCTCCCGTCGATTCTCGGTCTTCCTCACGATTTCGTTTCCTCCTTCGTTTTCCTCTCTTTTCCCTCTTTTTTTCCCTCCCGCTTTTTTGTTTGTCCTGGAGGAGCTCAAAGAAGCAAACGCGAAAGTTATAAAGTTACTTTCCACTCTTTTCATTCTCATTATATTAACA